TGATTTCGCTTTTGGCTGCGCTGCTGCCTTGTCTGTGAAGCTTGTCTCCCTTCATGATTTCGCTTTTGGCTCCTCTGCCGCCTTGTCTCCCAAGCTTGTCTCCCTTCATGATTTCGCTTTTGGCTGCCGCTGCCGCCTTGTCTCCCAAGCTTGTCTCCCTTCATGATTTCGCTCTTGGCTGCCTCTGCCGGCTTGTCTCTCAAGCTTGTCTACCTTCATGATTTCGCTTCGCTTTTGGCTGCGGCTGCCGCCTTGTCTCTCAAGCTTGTCTCCCTTCCTGATTTAGCTCTTGGCTGCCGCTGCCGCCTTGTTTCCCAAGCTTGTCTCCCTTCATGATTCGCTTTTGGCTACCGCTGCCGCCTTGTCTCCCAAGCTTGTCTCCCTTGATGATTTCGCTTTTGGCTGCCGCTACCGCCTTGTCTCCCAAGCTTGTCTCCCTTCATGACTTCGCTCTTGGCTGCCACTGCCGCCTTGTCTGTGAAGCTTGTCTCCCTTCATGATTTCGCTCTTGGCTGCCTCTGCCGGCTTGTCTTCCAATATGATTTCGCTTTTGGCTGCCGCTGCTGCCTTGTCTGTGAAGCTTGTCTCCCTTCATGATGTCGCTCTTGGCTGCCGCTGCCGCCTTGTCTGTGAAGCTTGCCTTCCTTCATGATTTTGCTCTTGGCTGCCTCTGCCGGCTTGTCTTCCAAGCTTGTCTCCCTTCATGATTTTGCTCCGCCTTGTCTGTTCAGCTTGTCCCCCTTCGTGAAGCTTGTCTCCCTTCATGATGTCGCTTTTGGCTGCCGCTGCCGCCTTGTCTTCCAAGCTTGTCTCCCTTCATGATTTCGCTCTTGGCTGCCTCTGCCAGCTTGTCTTCCAACCTTCGTGATTTCGCTCTTGGCTGCCGCTGCCAGCTTGTCTCCCAAGCTTGTCTCCCTTCATGATTTCGCTTTTTGGCTGCCGCTGCCGCCTTGTCTGTGAAGTTTGTCTCCCTTCATGATTTCGCTCTGGGCTGCCGCTACCGCCTTGACTCCCAAGCTGCCGCCTTGTCTCCCAAGCTTGTCTCCCTTCATGATTTCGCTTTTGGCTGCCGCTGCTGCCTTGTCTGTGAAACTTGGCTCCCTTCATGATTTTGCTCTTGGCTGCCGGTCTCCCAAGCTTGTCTCGCCTCATGATTTCGCTCTTGGCTGCCGCTGCCGCCTTGTCTCCTCAGCTTGTCTGCCTTCATGATTTCGCTTTTGGCTGCCGCTGCTGCTTTGTCTCTCAAGCTTGTCTCCCTTCCTGATTTCGCTCTTGGCTGCCGCCGCCCTGTCTCCCAAGCTTGTCCCCCTTCATGATTTCCCTTTTGGCCGCTGACGTGTTGTTTCTCAAGCTTGTCTCCCTCACAACTTCGCTCTTGGCTGCCGCTGCCGCCTGGTCTCCCAAGCTTGTCTCCCTTCATGATTTCGCTCTTGGCTGCCGCTGCCGCCGTGGTTCCCAAGCTTGTCTCTGTTCCTGATTTCGCTCTTGGCTGCCGCTGCCGCCTTGTTTTCTTGCCTGCCTTTGACGCGGATTCTGTTATAAGATGATTTGGGCCTTGTTTACCTTTTCCACCTTTTTCCCGGCTTTGAGTGGGATGTCTTCCAAGCTTGTCTCCCGCTCTTGCCATGGTGTCCAACTTTTCTTGAAGTGCTATCTGGGGTCTATGCCGGATAACTTTTTTTTTTGATTGGCTTCAGTTCTTGACTCACCACCATTTACTGATTGTTTCATATTGTTTCAGCGGTTGCCAAGTCGCTTTTTGATGAGGGACAATTCTTTTGTGCCGAGGGGCACATATGGAAGGGCCTGCTAGGTGGCCCATCGGGCTGGACTAGGCTAGAGGACTTGGACACACACACACACACACTGACCTGACAAAAACAAGCCAATCCCAGGGGTTCAAGAGGACTGAAAGGGATGACACAGAGCGATGTGATGACACAGAGCGATGCACACGCATTCGAGTTGCCCACAGGAATGGACTTGCCAGCAGGTTTGAGGTGTCTGGCGTGATGGAGTGGAAGTTGCTTCGGAGTCGGCTGCATTTACTCCGATGAGAAATTTGGTGAGGTGACTTTTTTAATTGCGCCAGGTTTAGGTATCAGGGGCATTCAGGTGCGTTGCGCCATCTATGCGCCCCGTGGCTTAAAAAAAAGGACGGTTCTCCATGATTATGCGCCCTATTTTGTAGAAAATAGCGGAGATTGGGACCGCGCCATCTTTTGGGCCTCCGTAAGAGGAAATCAAAAGGAATCAAAGGACATTAATAGGATTCAAAAGGAAATCAAAAGGACATCAAAAAGAATTTAAAAGGAATCAACACGAAATCAAAAGGAATCAAAAGGAAATGAACAAGTCCAAGAGGAAATCAAAAGGAATCAAAAGGGAATTAAATGGAATCAAACGGATATCAAAAAGAAATCGAAAGGAGATTACTGTAAACAGAAATCAAAAGGACACCGCAAGGACATTAAAAGGACATCAAAAGGAACATAAAAGGAATCAAAGGGACATTAGTACGATTCAAAAAAAAAGCAAAAGGAATCAGAAATGTACAGAACTTGGCCATTGGGCCATCTATAGGCCCCAAACGTTGTTTTATTCTTTTTTAAAGTAGGGAAAACTAGTAACCGCACAAACATCCCGCATAATCTTAATTTTCTGCACTCCAAAGACCAGTTGCGCCATATATGACGGCCAAATAGCGAGAAAAGGCAGATACATGGCGCGGCTGGTCCCGCTATTTTGTTTTTTGAGTTGCGCCAAGAACTTTCCAAACGGTGTATTTTCATGGTGAAGTGCCTTCGAAGTTCCATTCCAATGGAACGGTGCCATGTGAAAGTCCCCCTTCATCGTGAAGAGAAACCGCCTGTTCCTGCCGGGTGTCTTTGCCGCAGATGGCTGTGTCGGACGTTCGCAGATATTGCGAAGTCTTCTGAGATACTTACAGCATTCTTAAAGATCTTAAAGATGCATGCCGTCTCTGGGAACACTGAGGGTGTCATCTGGCAACCGTGACCCTGATGATTTTGGAGATTCTGGCCCTTGTGGAGAGTGGACGGTTCTCCTTGTAGAGAACGGTCCTCCAGAACAGCAGTTCCTTCCCCTGGCTTCCTATGTCTCCGACCCAGAGAACTCGGCAGGTCCATCCTTGGAGCTGGGTGAACGATCGGGGGAATCGGGGTTGGAACTGGGGCAGGTCTCCCTATGGCCCTATGGCAGCGGGTCAAAACCTAGAGGAGACCGCCTCTTTCGCCTTTGGACCTCCGCCACATGGGGAGGTTCGTCTCCGAATCTTTTCGGTGGGAAAAACCCAGGGTTTTGCCTGTACCATGGACCCACAGCCACATCCCAAATCAACCTCCACCAGCTCCTTCCGTTGAGAACTCTCCGGGAAAGGCGGTCCCCCGGTCCCTCTCCGCCGCGGTGCCAGGCTCTCCAGAGGAGGAGCGCTTCACGGTGCATGTGCAGCTGAGGTGTGCTGGTGCTTGGGGATCGATGGATGTCGAAGGAGAGGATCAAGGGGTCCACGCTTTGGCGCGTTACACCAACCTTCCAGGCCGGGCCATTATGACCTCCTTTACTTGGAGCCGGTGCACGAGCCAACCAAAGCGCGGCAGGGAGACTCAAGAGGTGGGGCATGAAGCTGGCAGATGAACATTTCAAGGATTTCATCCAAATTGGCCGGCAAATCCGGTTATTTCCTGTTCACCAAACGCCCAAAACGATCCAAAAAGCACACGTGGCGTGCTTCTTTCTGCGCCTTTGGTGTGGCGATTCCCCGCTTGCGTGGCATTCGTCATGCCTTCTTCCTCCGGTCCAAGTGCCCAGCAGTGCCATTTTCACCTCCAGAGTTGGGGGTTTCCCCAGCTGGGCCTTCCCCAGCATTTTCCTAAAGATATAACAGCACTATAGACAAAAGAAGTGTATGAGCAAAAGTTCATTCACAAGGATCCTCCAGATAGAAAGCTTCCCACAGCCACATCCCTATATCAAGTTGGAGAAGATAAATGAACAGAAGGAGCTGCTCCAGCTATCTCCAGCTAGTTGGGACCACATTTCAGACCGATTCTCCAGCTTGGTACCCGGACGTTTCGTTCGACGGATTCGGCTGGATCGGAGTGCGTCCGGTGACCCAGGCGTGCCACTATCGAATGCTCTGGTGGCTATGGCAGCTTGGGACACCGAGTAGTCAGGTGGTGGTGGTCGTGGTGGTGGTGGTGGTGGCGGTTGAACATATTGAGAACCTCGGATCCAATGACAGCAGGCGGAAAGCATTGGAGTGGATCAGGAGAATTCAGGAAATGTTGGCTGGAGAGCGGCCTTGATTTCAGGGGTTGACTCTTTCATGCTTGATTGGACTGGAGATTCTGGGGTGTGTAGACCTGTGATCTAGAACCTGAGTGCTCCTCGTATCTGTTTGGCAGTACTATTAACCACTCCATTGAGTAGATCCATTGGGCCTTAACATGGAGTTTGAAGCCAAGCGAAACACCTGTGCCGCACGTGTGCCCTGTGCCTGTGTCGAGCCATCAGGAGTGTTGATCCAAATGTTTTCGAGCAGCAAGCAAGCAAGCAAGTACCAAGACCCACAAGTGGTGGTTCATGGACACCCCTTAACCTCTAAGGGGCTATCAATAGACACCCCCAGACAGGGGGTCCTGGTAGAAGTAGCTATGACAAGCACCTTCTGCGTGACACATTCTTCGTCCCCTAAAAAGGTATTCTGTTGGTTCTTTCCTCAAGACCGATACAGTAGACGCGATTGCCAGAAACACCGCCTGGGGCACCGATGGGTTCCCACGTGGCGTTCCAATTCGCACAGAGAGATGCTGCAGCAGGAGTCCACACATGTTAGGATTTGATGGACCAAACATCTGGGATATCCAACCTGCAGCAAAACCCAGAAGGAAACCAGAGGAGAACCAGGGCCTCCAACTGATCAACGAAAGCTTCACGTTTGGGATGCAGACCGAGGACCATCGAAGATCATGAACCCATCGAAGACCATGTGTTCTGGCTGCTGCCCAAAGGGCCTAAAGTGTTCAACCAGCGATGCCCTCGGTCTGAGAGAAGCACCTGGATCCGCCCGCCATGCTGGCGCATGATCTCATTGTATTTACATCGTGTGGGACCTCTCCAAACTCAGCCCAAACGTGCCCAGGCGTTGTTTCAGGGAAGATCTATAAACCCAATCGGCCTCGGGGTGCGAAAGCGGTGTCCTGTCGATTCTCCCTCTCCAACCAAGCCAGTGACGCATCAGTTGGCCCGTGGCCCACCACCCAGGCACCTTGAGCCCAAATGCTTCCTTGGGTGCAGGGGCTCCCAGAGGAACGGTACAAAGGTCTCAAAGTGATCTTTTAAGGCTGCATCGCTCCGATTTTTGGTCCAAACTCCTCAAAGGTTCTCAGTCTCGTCGTGTTCCCATTCCTCAAAATGACTATTCTATATACATATTCAACACCAAAGCATACCAGTATCTATGTACCAAGATGTACCAAGTAGAGCAAGATTTTGTAGTTGGGTTGAACAGGAAGAGCACACCAGAGTCCTCTATATACATACGATCAGTGATGCTAGTCTACGAGAAGTAGGTGAATTGCATGCCAAAAGTGTGTTTGTCAGAAAGCAGGTGGCCCCTAATTCATTTCCCTCAAAACACCTCCAGGTGCGCATAGCTACCTTTCGAAAGCGATCTTGCACCTGATCGCCATGGCGATGCCCAATTAATGCCCCTTACAAATTCTGCAGGTCAATAGAACCCCTGAGGACAGCCGTTTTCTGGTGTCTTGGAGTTTCCCAAAGCTCTACCGCTCGAACCTCTCATCTCAACCCCCTCGACCCGCCCCTCCTCCAAACCACCTTCTTGGGGTCATCGCAGACCTGCCATCTACTTCTCCCCTCAAAAAAGGGGTCGACCTTTGTCGGGACCTTTCCGCGCCGTTCTCCGAAAAGAACAGGACGGCACCTCCTTTCCTCCGGCCTCGGCAGAGAGGCCCACACCTTGGAACCCTTCCGCCTGTGATGGGCGCCTTACGCGGCGACCCCGGCGGTTCGGCGGGCCTTGGCCCTGCTGGTGGGTTTGGCAGAAGGGTCGACTCGTGGTGTCGGGCCGAGTTTTCCCGCGCCTGGAGATCCACAGGGTCGTTTTTTGGTTGGAGACCTCCGCATACGGAAGGTGCTCAAAGATGGCTCCTTCTCCCTCCTGGATTGGCCTTTTGCTTGGGAGCACTAAATTCAACCTCTCATCGGGGCCACCGGGCTTGGGGCGGGCGACGCACAGCACGAGGGGCGACGCACAGCAGGTGGTGGTTCAGTTCTTTTGCTCCAAGTGGCCCACACTGGGGCTGGGAGCTGGTGGCCGGTCCCCATGACCCGTGCGTCCCGGTCTCATCCCGCAGTTTAGAGGCTTTTATCCCAGCCGGACCGTCGCTGGGGCTATGGCGGCCATGGCCGGGAGTGGAGCGTGGCCAGCCATGCTGACCTTGATGCTGGGACACGCGGGATGTCCTGCGTTCGCCTCCACGCGCATCAAAGTGGCAGGCTCCTCTACGGTGTTCCCCGTGGCCAATGCGTGGGCGACGTCGATGGAGAATGCCAGCAGCTTCGACATCACCATAGAAGGTGGAGGTTCAAGCTCTGGTGCCAGACGGGTTTGTGCTGGCCGTTCAGATCCTAGCCATGTGGATATTGGTGACATGTCCCGTGATTGGAAGAGCAGCGAGGCTGTGTTGCTAGATGATGGCTACACCTTCGAATGTACCTCCTCAAAGATTCGTGTGACCCAAATTCAGGTACGGCGTTCCTTCTTCGTTCCGGGTAGAATGGTCCGACCGGACATTTTTGTGCGGTTTCGTGACTTATGAGTCATGGTGCCAGTAGTTCAACATTGTTTGGCTCATGAAGAGGGACTAGCTAGAAGCCTATTTGCCTGTTTTGATAGGAAAATACTATTTGACTTTGGTCTTCCAAAGGGACAGTTTTTCCACTTCCACCATAGTTCCAGGGAGCGTCTTTTGGGAGGTCCTTCGGGTTGGGTCGGGTCGTGTGTTCCGACGGGCTCAGCCTTAGGCAAGCCCAGAGCAAACCTTCGAACTTGATCAGATTTGGTAGAAAACATGTAGAAGACAATGTTGCTGGGATTCTGCAGATGCCTCAGAATCCTTCAACGCGATCTCAGCTGCTCAAACCGGCTTCGATCACGAAAAAGGACCCATTGGAAAGCCGATCGAACACATCCGTCCGACGCGACGGCCGTCATGTGGCCTTGGGTTCCGATCTGTGGAGAGGTGGGCGTGGATGGCCTCGCGGTGGTCGTCGGCAAGAACAGCCGTGCGCATGATTGTTTGACCAGCCCGGACGTGGGAGGAGCAGCGTGGGGTTCGGAATGGGAATGGGAATGGGAGTGGGCGGGGTGGGGCGATGAGCGGTTGAGGCGATGAACGGTTGGGGGTTAGTGGTGGCCATTTTTGGGTCAGGTTGAGAACTAGAAAAAACCTAAAGAGAGCAAGAAGTGTGAAGTACTGAGTGACCTTGGCACCTTTTTTCTTGGATCGGCTTCTCCTCCTTCGCACCCAAAAGGACGCTCTGAAGCTGTGTTCTGCTTCGTCAGAGAGGGCACCCCTGCTCCCACCCAGCGGCTTCCCGCGGCTGGAGCCGGCTGGGCAGGACTCACGCTGGCCATGCTGCACTGGATTTTCACCAATTGGACCAACAGTCAGCTCACCGCCGACGGGGTGAACCTCGCCTCGGCGGTGCCCAACGATGACGGAGATGGCATCAAGGAGTGGAGCGACCTGTCCTCTGCGTGCGATGAGGTGCCCATCAATGCCTACGGTCCAGGCTCGGACTCTGGTACCTTCGACTTCTTCGCAGAAAAGACCTTGTGCACGGACTGCTTTGGATTGAAGGCCGGCAAAGTCCCTGAGGACTTCCAGTGGTGTTCCAGCAATGCATTGCACACATTGGAACAGGTGAACGGCACAGATGTTGAGGCCTTGCAGAACTACATGCAGACGCAGCGACCCTTGAATTGCTACATGTCCTCTGAGTCTGATTACCAGCTGGTCCAATGGCTGTCCTCAGATGCAGGCGATTTTTGTCTAAAACCAAGTGAAAGGCGATTCCTGTTATGGAGTTTCATGGAGCCTACCACAAAATCACAAAATGTCTGTTTCCCCCCCATGCGAAATACATCGAACGTAGTAATGTCTGGTTCTTGCCCCAGCGCTGGGCTTCCGGGTTTATGTGCCATTCGAAAGCCATGGAAAGCACTCTACCTCGCCAGTGGTTTCACCAGTGGTTTCCAGTTCGGCTCGAACCATTGACCGAAACAACTCATGCTGGTTTCCGCAAACTGGTGGCAGCCCCCGCGATCCACGGATCTGATGGACCGAGTTCCATCCCCTGTTGGAACCGCTGGAACCCATGCTGCAACTCAACTCCGAGCGATGCGCGGAACGATGCGCGGTGGCGAAGGTGGCATTGGCTACTTCGGCTACAGCTACTACAGCCAATTCGCCTCGCGCCTGACGGTCGCGCGCGTCGCCAGCGACCGGGAGAATGGAGTGCTGGACACCAAGGATGCCAAGGTGGACTGGCTTGGGGAGGATCCAGGATGAGAATCAGAAGTCGACCTTCTCAATACTTGGTTTGGGGTGGAGTGAATTCCCCAGACATTCTCTGTTTGGGACTGGCATATTGACCTACATTGACCCCTGAAACGACCTCAATGGCTCGGTAGTCCATGCCAGTTTCAAACAGGTCGTGTTTGGGACATCTTTCATCGCCACTTCGGAGCAGGAGTCCCATGTCCGTCGTGTTCGAAGGATGTGGTCTGGAGGTGCTAAAGGTGAGTAGAAACACGAGGTAGGTGATCGGTAGGTCGGGCCCCTCCCAAGGATCGGCAATACTTACTGCTGTTCTTAAGCGTTTTCACATGGCTCTAGGGTTCAAGCAGCACCAGCTTGCATGACATACCAGCACCTGACTTTTGAGGGTCACCTATGCAAGCTCGCATCTGTCTACTTTTGTAAGTCTCCAAGCAACATCCCCTTGGCGATGGCTCAAAAAGTAAGACCCGGCAAGACCCCTCGGCAGGGTTTTAGACCATTGTGCCGAAAAAAGCCAGTCGATTTAAATGGGTGTTTTTCTCCTTGAGACGTTGGTCCTGCGAGTCGGAAGGTGGAACCATCGACATATACCATCACAGATGGTTCCTACAGCGTCTACAAGAGAAAACTCTACATGAATGTGGACAATGAAGCCTGGGATCGTGTGCATCCTTACCTTAGCTATGGCTTCAGCCCGAAGGGCCAAAAACATGTGGCCACCGTGGGCTACGTGCCAGTGAACGCGGCCTTGTTGGCCAAGATGAAGATACGAATCGAAGAGAGGGGAAACGAAGAGGCAGATTACATCTCCGTGGCTCCAAGCAACTGCCCTGTGGGCACTGAGCTCAGCGCAATTCCATACGTGAATCAGTTTGGTACTGACAAGGTCAATTACACCTGCTCCTTGTGCCCTCCAGGACATGGGGGAGTGGAGCCAAGGCTCCTTTTCTTGAGCTGTCGTGTTGCAGTGACATGGGGGTTCACACCCTCGCTTGCCCTTCGCCGTTGCTGTCGCCACGGAGCTGTGTGGGGGGTCATTCTTCTCCGGTGTGTAATCGGAGCCACCGAAGTGAACGTAAATGGGACGCGGAACACCTGCGGTACCTATGCCCTGGGATTCCAACAACCATTCTTTCAAAGGTCTTTACCAAAAGAACCATTGGTTTACTCAGGATTTTACCACTACACATCCAGGTCACCCAGGAGTCAACCATTCTTTTCATGGTCTTTGAGGGCTAGGGTATGGGATAGTCGAACTAGGCTTCTTAGGCACCAAACCCGCTCCTTTACTGCTGCCAGGACGTTACAAGTTCCTCGACACGCCGACGCCGTGCTCCTATTGCCCGGCGGGCAAGTATGCCGACCAACCAGGGCTAGCCGACTGCCTCTTTTGCGAGCCGGGCTATGAGCCGGTCAACGGCGTGCAATGTCAGCCCTGCCAGCCAGGCTCTTACAAGATGCTTGGCTTCTGAAGCGGAAGTAAAACTTCTAGTCCCAGGCAGAAGGAACACCGCAGCGGAGTGATTCTTTGGGGTTTCTTGATACGCAGAGTGAGGTGACTCACGTCCCCAGGCTGCCAGAAGGATCGCTAGGAAGATGTCAAAAGGGAGCAGATTGATTCACCTCATTTCGATTGAGAAGGATCATGGGCCTCTGGGCCGTTGGGGCGGCTTCCGGCTCCCGCTCTAACCCCTATGGACCGACACGGTCAGCTCAGCTGAGCTCCCGGCGCCAAGGAAAGAGGTGGCGGCGGCGACGTGCTCCCTCTGTGAGCCGGGAACCTTCACCAACCGTTCCGCGCAGGCGGCGTGGGAGTTCTGTTCCGCCCGCCTGGCCGCGCGAGAAGGTCCTGCTGTAGCTTTCTTGTTTCTAATAGCTTCTTGAACTTCTTGCTCCTAGTAGTGAGGCCAGGAGCCCCGTTCGTCGCGAACCTTGTTCCGTTCGTCGCGTCCGTTCCGCGCAGGCGGACTGCGAGTTCTGCCTGGCTGGCTTCTTCTCAATCGAGGGGTCGACCGGGTGCACTGCATGCCCAAAGACGCTTGGCTTGGTTGGTGTGTGGAGGCACAAGCTCAAACAAGGAAGCCTAAAGGCTTGGTTTGAAGGAGGGATATCGATGCAGAATCTCTGTAAGTCAGTTGGTAACAACCTCTCACTACCGTTTTGTCAATAGTAGATAATGGTCATAGTCGTAGTGTTTGCAAGATCTGCAGAGATCTGCAGAGCTGTTTTGAATAATTTGGTCAAGATCGCTTTCAGAACGATACCCAAGATCTCGCAAATAGCAGACCATATTCAATGGAAGGTTTCTCTCAAATCTCCTTCTTAGCTTACGATACCTTCTTTGCAAGGGCGACGTGTATACGGACAATCTGAATTTGTATCGCATGCATGTGCTATAGATCCTTCTTTAGAT